GCGTCTGTTTTCCGAAAAAAGTTGGCCAGTGTAGACACAGCCTATCCCTTCTCAGCTGACAGCACTAGGCATTGGATACAGTAGGGCACTGGTCACCAATCAGTAGATCAGGATCTACTGGCAGATCTTGGAGCCTCTGACAGGTGATCTTGATTGGTTTGGCCAAGAGGCTATCAAGGGCAGGTACTTCAGCTGCCCCTCCCACCACAGCTGTGCCTCTCCTGGCCTTGGAGCTTCCCCCGGCCTCCCACTTGCAGTACAGAGCAGGGAAGGGAGAGGAGGGCACTGATGTCAGTGTGCCCCCTCTTCCATCCTGTTTTCTATCTCCACAGAATGGGGAGAAGGGGACAACAGGGCTTGGGATGGAGGGAGATTGCTGGCTGCTTTTGAGAATGGTGCAGGGCCAGGGCAGGGGTGAGTCTACCTTAGCCCCACTGCACCACCACCCAGGAGCCACCTGAGGTAAGCAGTGTCCAGCTGGAGCCAGTTCCGAACCCCTTCCCCAGTCATGTACCCCCTTCTATGCCACAAGCCCCTGCGCTAGCCCTGAGCCCCCCCAGACTCAAATTCCCATATAGAGTCTGCACCCTGAACCCCCTCCTACCCTCCAACTCCCTGCCCCAGGCTCAGCTCAGAGCCCCCTCACACTCCAAATCCCTTAGCCTAAGACCAGAGCCTGTGCCCCAACCCTCTGTCCCTGCCTGGTGAAAGGGAGGGAGAATGGTGGGAGCTGGAGCAGGGCCTCGGAGAAGGGGCAGGAAGGAGGCGGGGCAAGGGTATTTGGTTTTGAGGTAGATCCTGGATTGCACTTAAATTCAAAAAATGGTCTTGTGCTTAAAAAGGGTGGAGATCCCTGCAGTAGGGGTTCATGTACACAAGAACTTATCTTTCTGTATTAAGCCCCTTGTGTTGAAATCCTGTAACAGGAGAATGCTGTGTGTGGTGGTGTTAAAACACACCCGTTTGAGCCCAGGTCAGCACAGTGCTGAAAGTTAGGCATATTCCTAAATATCTCGCTGAAACGGCTTTGATGCACTTACATTTACAAGACTAAGCCATGTGGAAGAAAGGCAGTGTTTCTGAGCCTCTGTTGGCTTTGCAGAGGAGTATGTGTGCTGCCACATGATGGGATTTAAAACCTATTTAAACTCCACAGCTGTTATTCACTGTGAGGTACTGTAAACTGCCCAATAATGCTATTTTTGGATGTGTTTAAATTATCACAACCATACTGATCAGTTACCAGGCCTGATTCCACCCTGATTAGAGACAGAGTTCCAATAGCAGGAATATTTCCAGAGGAGAATTTTTGGCATGGAAACTCATCACTAAGGTTGCCAGGTGTTTTGAACTGGACAGTCCAGTATTTGATCTTTCTGTTTGGGAAACAAATTGAGAAAATATAAATGTCCGGTATTTTTTAAATAAGATGTAATGTAGATTGTGATGTAATGTCAAGTGTGTCCGGTATTTTTGTTGAAACCAGCTGGCAACCCTACTCATCACTATTTCCTTTTCACTAGTGCAAAGCTGGGCAGAGCTTGTTGGAGAGGGGGCAGAGCTTGTTGTTTGGTCAGGACAACAGAAAACTGAGCTATTTAATGCAATTGTTCGTTCCAGAGGTCACGCAGAGGGGAATTCGCTCTGGCCTTACCGTAAAGCTGCTCCAGCTCCTTCCTTTGAAGTGAAAATGCTGTATAACTAGGCTGACATAGGGTGCAATTTATGTTTCCTTGTACCGGAAAGGCAAGGAAGTTTATTTTTAATTCCAGCCCAGTATTTTAAAGGTCAGCTGTGAGTAAGGAGGCAGAATTTGGATCTTTATTCAAAAGGCGAAGGTTTAAAAAAAATCATGGGGAATTTTGTTTTACACTTTTCACCTAGTTTTTAAAAAGTGTCAGATGGGTAGCTGGGTAAGTCTTTAACTTTAAAAATAATGAGTAGTCTTGGCACCTTACAGACTAACAAAAATATTTATAGTGGTGCCCGCGAAAGCTTATGATACTATATATATTTTTGTTAGTGTCTAAGGTGCCACAGGACTACTTGTTACTTTTCATTTAGATAAATGACAATGAATTAAATAACAATATTAGTTCATGTTTTTTAACATATTCCTTTAGTATTTCCCATATTATTTATGGGAAATAATAAAGCAAAGCCCTCTTTCCCGCATGGCATAATCACCAGTTTATATTGGAGGTCTGCAGATGTGTGGCATGTCCAGGCAACTTCTACATCATTCTGAATATTCTCAGACCCACCAGTCCCCAAACTGAAACTTAATTTCTGCACAAAGAGGAATCCTTATGTGCATAGAATTCAAACCTTTCTTCAGGTTTCAGAATTCAGCTCCCATAAAAATTAACTGAAGAATGCTGTGTCGCATGTACAATGGGCTTTTTGACATAATAATGCAAAGAATCAGTAGCACAGTTGACTTTTTTTATCTGAGACCATATATGATTTTTATAGAAGGTGACAATAAAAACCTAGAGGAAGGATATAACCCTTGTAACATGACATTGAATGCTGTTTTAAATAAAGATCAAGGCACAAATGGAGAAGTTCATTTTTAAAATGTTTGACAGTTACTGTTTCTAAACTATCCACACTTTCAGAAGAGGTTTTCTATGTCACTGTTTTATCTGTTACTATTGATCAAGAACAGTGTTTGCCTGTCGTAGTGTAGTTTATCCTGCATTCTATGCACTGTTAAAAAGGTGTGTGCTAAATAAAAATTGTGAAACTTGACAATGCAGGAGTGAGTCATACCTAAAAGTGTTCATGGAAAAGATTGTTCTGAAACAGGTTTGAGTGTGTGAAGGAGAGAGAAAGCAAGACATACAAACTGTCTGAATCGGAGGTAACTTCCCTGTATTATTAATTATATTAGTTGAAGCAGAATTCATCTTCTACAAGGTATTTGTAGAGGTCCAATTCAATGGGCCTGTGATCTTGGTTGGTCCCTACACAATAAATATCAGTCATAATAAACATGTTTAATATCAATGATAGAATGACATACTATTTGAGAACAGGAAATCAGACCCTGGGAGAGCTGGGGAAGGGGGAATAGAGAACAGGGCCCAGGTGGGTGAGGGGACTTGGGAGGAGAGAAAACGTGCTCCTGGCCCTCAGCCTCCTGCACCCCTGCTCTCATCCCCAAAGCCCTTCCCTGAAGGACTCGAGCAATGCTAGTTATTTTATGTATCTTTAAAATAGCAATCCCCCTCTGAAAAATTAAAACACCTACAAGGGAAGGTGCAGCCTTGAAACAGCCTCGGTTTCAACCTCTAGCTAGAGTAGCAGCTGCAGAGATGCTGTATTGTAACCCCATAGTCTGTCTATGGATGGATATACATGTAAATTCCGTCCCTAATACCCACACACTCAATACACAGAGAAAAATCCCTTCAGCCTAATTATGAGTGCAACAGATGCCTACCACTGTTGTGCACTTTAGTTTAATGTTTAGCTTCCCAAGGTCTGGAAGACAGGTCACTGTGAAAGCTTTAACGAAATCAGTGAACTTTTCCAAATTCAGAGTTTTGTGTTTGCGCACGAGAACTCCTCACAGAAATTGAAACTTTCCATTGCAAACAGATGCAGGCATCTGGAAGGGATTTTCCACCTTCAGGAGCATTGTTGGCAACATGTGGTTTGTCTACATTCCCCCTTTCCTGTGAAGCATCAAGTAATGGCTATTGCTGTGGATGGGCTGCCAAATTGTTGGATCAAAAGTTTGCTCAGCTACAGGAAATCTTTTACACCTTTTACAATTTCTTACTAACAAACGTATGAAGCTTTTAAAATCATAAATTGGATCTCTAACATTCATTTTAAAACATTAAATGACTAAAGACAAAATATTTTAGGGCAGTATGCTCTGAAAACCAATTGAGGTTTAGTAGCCAACAGTAGAATGCAGGTCTCTTATGGTAATTAAAACTGTAGTGAATTAGTAATGGACCTGAATAGTCCTAAAGTTTGGAAGTACATGAATCTCTGATCCCTGTCTGGGATTGTCTCTAAACATTTCACCTGAACAAAAAAGTAAAGTAAATCTATAAGAGAAATTTTCCCACTCAGCTAAAAATTACTGCCTAGTGTGAAGTATTAGAAATGTTGACTTAGACAGGTCAGTCACCTGTAGGGCATGATTTGAGTTAAGCAAGTTAATTCCACACCACATATAGTATTACCTAACATCTTCTAAAGCCAGTAGTCATGGTTGATCAGGGAAGGATGAGTATTGCTGTGAGTAGAGTGAGTGAGGAGATGTGGGGTTATGAACGTGATGAGTAACAAGAATTAAGTACACCCATTTATTTTTCCACTTCAGTCCCCAAGGAACAGTTCATTTCCCCTTTAAACTTGAGTGTATAGGACCATCATTAAACACATTTAAATACTGTAACAAATGGATTAGTACAGGTGCTCCCCACTGCTGTCTACTGGAACTGAGCAGCTGTGAATTATCAAAGGCCTGTACTGATAATAACTAAGGGTATGTCTACACTACCCGCCTAGTTCGAACTAGGAGGGTAATGTAGGCATACCGCACTTGCAAATGAAGCCCGGGATTTGAATTTCCCGGGCTTCATTTGCATAAGCGGGGAGCCGCCATTTTTAAAACCCCGCTGGTTCGAACCCCGTGCAGCGGGGCTACACGGGGTTCGAACCA